AGATTGTCTCAGACCATAAATATGTATTGGAGAAATTATCAACTTTATCTCCTAGCCTGTATTATGCAAAAATAAGTACGATTCAAACACACTCTATAGTAAACCAGAAGTTTACTGACTTAAAGACTTTTGTGCTTTGGCATGACCGAATAGGTCATCCTGGATCAATAATGATGAGACGAATCATTGAAAACTCAAATGGTCATTCATTAAAGAACCTGAAGATTCTTACAAATGATGAGTTTTCCTGTGCTGCTTGCTTCCAAGGCAAATATATTACTAGGCCATCACCAATGAAGGTTAACATTGAATCCCCTCAATTTTTGGAACGAATACATGGGGATATTTGTGGATCTATTCACCCATCTAGTGAGTCGTTTAGATATTTTATGGTCCTAATAGACGCATCTTCAAGATGGTCTCATGTGTGCCTATTATCATCTTGCAACCTGACGTTTGCAAAATTATTGGCACAAATAATACGATTAAGAGCGCAATTTCCAGATTATCCCATTAACACAATTCGTCTTGATAATGCTAGCGAATTCACATCCCAAGCTTTTGATGCTTATTGCGTATCAGTAGGGATAAAAGTTGAACATCCTGTAGCTCATGTACATACTCAAAATGGCCTTGCTGAGTCATTTATAAGCGCTTACAATTGATAGCAAGACCTCTACTTATGAAAAGTGAGTTGTCTACTATTGTTTGGGGTCATGCTATCTTACATGCAGCATCACTTGTTCGTCTCAGACCGACTCATTATAATAAATACTCCCCATTACAATTGGTATTTGGTCATGAACCAAATATTGCTCATCTTCGAATTTTTGGATCTGCTGTATATGTGCCTGTAGCACCACCTCATCGCACCAAGATGGGCCCTCAAAGAAGGTTAGACATATATGTTGGGTTTGATTCACCCTCAATAATTCGCTACCTTGAGCCATTGACGAGAGATTTATTCACTGCAAGATTTGCAGATTGTCGATTTGATGAAACAAAAATTCCGCAATTAGGGGGAGAGAAAAATAAACTTAAAAGTGAAATTGCATGGAAAGTTTCATCATTATCTCATTTTGATCCACGCTCCACTGTGTGTGAACAAGAGGTCCAAAAGATCATCCATTTGCAAAACATAGCAAATCAAATGCCAGACGCATTTACTGATTCAAAAAGGATAACAAAGTCACATATTCCTGCAGTAAATGTGTCTATCCGAATCGACGTCCCAAAAGGACCATCTACAAGTGTTATAGCTTCTGAATCACAAATATGCCTGAAGCATGGTAGACCATTGGGTTCAAAAGATAAGAATCGTAGAAAAAGAAGTACAAAAAATGACACTACAAAAGAATTGAATTCACTTGCTAAGCGTGAGGTTTTTGGACCAGTAGTCCAAACACCTAGTGATGTTAAACCAATTGGCTATAAATGGGTCTTTGTACGAAAAAGAAATGAGATTGTAAGATACAAGGCACACCTTGTTGCACAAGGATTCTCTCAACGACCTGGTGTCGACTATGAAGAAACATATTCACCTATTATGGATGCAATAACTTTTAGACATCTCATGGGTTTAGCTGTACATGAAAATCTTGAAATTCATCTAATGGATGTGGTTACAGCTTACCTTTACGATTCACTTGATAATGAAATTTATATGAAAGTTCCGGAAGGACTTGAATGCCTGAAGCATGTAGTTCAAAATCTCGGGAAATGTATTCAATCGGATTACAAAAGTCATTATATGATTTCAAACAATCAGGGCGCATGTGGTATAATCGCCTCAGTGAGTACTTGATAAAACAAGGTTATATAAACGATGTCATTTGTCCTTGTATATTTATTAAGAACACAACATTGGGGTTTGTTATTCTTGATGTTTATGTTGATGACATTAATCTCATTGGAACTCCAGAAGAGGTTCAAAAGGCAATTGAATATCTAAAGGAAGAATTTGAGATGAAAGACCTTGGAAAGACAAAAATTTGTCTTGGACTACAAATAGAATATTTAGTAGACGGGGTCTTCATCCATCAATCTGCCTATACTGAGAAAATCTTGAAACAATTTTACATGGACAAAACACATCCATTAAGTACTCCAATGATTGTCTGATCACTTGAAGTGAGTAAGGATCCATTCCGACCTCAAGAAGAGAATGATGAACCTCTTGGTCCAGAACTACCTTATCTTAGTGCAATTGGGGCACTCATGTATCTTGCTAATGCTACGAGACCTGACATAGCATTTTCAGTTAATTTGTTAGCAAGATATAGTTCTTCCCCTACACGAAGACATTGGAATGGAGTTAAACACATATTGCAATATCTAAGGGAAACTAGTGATATAAGTCTGTTTTATACTAACAAAGATAGTGCAGATCTTGTTGGTTATGCAGATGCAGGTTATTTATCTGACCCACATAAAGCTCGATCACAAACAGACTATCTGTTCACATACGGAGGTACTGCTATATCATGGCGATCTCCGAAGCAGTCTATTGTCGCTACTTCTTCAAATCATGCTGAGATAATAGTCATTCATGAAGCAAGTAGAAAATGTGTATGGTTAAGATCAGTAATACATAATATCAAAGAAAGATGTGGTTTGAAGTGTGACGTCAAGATGCCACAATACTCTTTGAAGACAATGCTGCATACATAGCTCAATTAAAAGGAGGCTTTATAAAAGGAGATAGAACGAAACACATTTCACCAAAATTATTCTTCACACATGATCTCCAGAAGAATGGTGATATTGATGTGCGACAAATTCGTTCGAGTGATAATCCAGCAAATTTATTTACCAAATCTTTACTGGCCTAAACTCTTGAGAAGATGTTCACAAAATTGGAATGCAGAAACTTAACCATCTGAATCGTGGTTTCTATCAGGGGGAGTAAAATACGCACTGTACTCTTTTTTCCTTAGTTTAGGTTTTGTCCCACTGGGTTTTCCTAGAAAGGTTTTTAATGAGGCACCAAATAATGCGTATCAAAAGATATGTGTACTCTTTTTCCTTCACTAGAATTTTTTTCCCACGATTTTTTTTTCTAGTAAGGTTTTAACGAGGCACAATATCTATGGACATCCAAGGGGGAGTGTTATAAATCTATTAAATAAGTGGATAGTCCATAATGTTAGTACATGAACAACCATTCATATTCACTAGGTTACATGAACCTTTTTGGATTAGAATGTATCTATTTATTATGATACTTAATATGGTGACCTTTGGAGTGATTTCTAACTCTATAAATAGGGTTGTTTATTCACTATTGTAATATATACATATGAAACTTACATATACTTGAAAACTCCTACATCTACTTCTCTTGTCTTCTTCTTATAATCTTGATTTTACAACAGAAGAAAATAATATGTCTTATTTTTCATCATTAATAAAATACTATTAGTTAATTTTCCTAAAACTTTTCTTTTTCCTTCTTCTAAATTTCTTTCATTAATTAAAAAATAAACATTTCTTAAATTTTGATAAATCCCTACCACAATCATTTTCAAAGATTTTTATATTTTTGTAATTTTTCATTTTTGTTAGAAATTTATAACTTAATTTTTTAAATTTTTAAATTTCATCCTTTTTTGAGTGTCATGAGCTTAATTTTCTTTATGTGAAATATATATATATATATATATAAAGGTAAAAAGAAGAATATAAGGAAGAGAAATATTTAAGAAATATATTTTTATGTGTAAGCAAAATGGTAGCTTTTGAATTTCTTATTTTTGGAAAAGTACAACGGATTATTAATTAATAATTGATCTTTTCTTCTTTCTTTTCTTTAATTTTTCATTATTTAAAACTCAATTATTTAATTCTAGTAATTGTATTAAATACATTGTTAAACTAAAAGGTCATTTCTTTAACATCAGTTTTAATGATTTTTATTTTCATTACATTAACAACTTTTTATTTTTGTAATTTTTAAAGTAATTAATAATTATATTGATATCAGATATTATAATGTATAAATAAATATATTGTTAAATATTATAGAAAACATCACATTAATTTTTTTATTGTTATTTTTTTGAGAGGTATTGTTAGATAATGAAGAAATTATCACATCATTTTTTTTGTTATATTTTTTATGTTTATTATTTGCATATTTTAGTTTGATTCGAAAAATAAGATGCAAACTATTGAGTTATGATCAACCTATGAAGTGGATGTCAGTAAAAACTCCAAAGATTAAATGCATTGAATTTATATATTATTTTTCATTTTTATAAAATAAAGATATAACGATTATATTGCAAACACATCTTTATTTATCTCATACTTAATAAATATTTCCTATCTTATATTTTTTATAATTGCGTGAAGCATGAATAAGTTCGCTAGTATATATTGAATCTATGATATGGATACAGTGATGAAATGAACTCAAATAAGTGTTTTTTTTTGTAATATCTAGTTTAAAATATTTCAAAAGTAATTTTGCCTTCTTTTATTTTATAATTTTAAAATACTTTTTATGTTTTCATATATAATTATGTATATGTATGTAGTTCCTACCTTTTATAAATATTTGAATTGTTTAAAAATGATTTTTAATGAAGTATTTTGTTTATTATGTTAGATAGTTAATAATTATATTCTGAGTTAATTAATATATAATTAAGTTAATTATTTTATTTCGTTAAAATTAACAAGGTTGTTAGTTAACTATATTAATAATAAAAATTTTATTTAAATTTTAGGTGAATTTAATAATTAAATTCAAATTAATAAAATTGTTAACTCAAATCGGCTATAAATGAAAGTTATTCGGCCAAATCTTAATTCAATTCTAGCCATTTTGACTCAACTCTTATTTAGCCCATGTCCAGCTCGACATTAGAGCAACAACCCAGAGACCCCACTTCTCACTAAATCAACTCAACCCACGTGTTTTTGAGTTTGAATCATTTTAAGTGTAATTTTTTTTTAAAAATATTTTATATTTAATATTAATTATTTTATTTAATTTTAATGTAGTTGAAAAAAAAAAAAAAAAACCTCCTGCTCTCCTTCCCCATTTCAGTTTAGCGAACGCGAACGCGAACGCAAACCCAAACCAAACTCTCCGGACGGAAAAATATAAGACCGTTTCAGAACATTCTGGAAGGCTCCAGGTGTTGCCATCTCCGAATCAAGGTTCTCATTTCAAATCAGTTGGAGCTTTAACCAAAGGAAGTTTGAATCTCAATTCCATTCAATTCTCACCCGTTTCCCCTATTTCCACCCTAGTCTCTGTCAAGAGGAGGAATTTTGACCATTGAAAAGATACAAAAAAAAGTAATTTTTTCTTTAGAAATCAAAAGTTCTCCGAATCCCTGAATTTCAAATTTAAATCATTGTTCTTATTGTTTTCGTTTCCGGCGAAGTTAAGCTCGGAATCGTGGTGGAAGTATTGCTCTTCTCGTCCATCCCAGGTTTGTTGCGCTACAAGAGGTCCTCATCTTTGTCCGATTATCAATTTCTATTTTTAGGATACTAATCTATTCTAGTTATATATGTATGAGGTATCTCCATGTCGAAATGGTCATTCTATTTGATTATCACTGTTGTATTTTGAATGAGTTCATTTGTGTGTTTCTCAAATTATATTCAACTTCATATTGTTTTCTCTCTCTAAATTTAATCCTATTTTGGCTACTAAATCGCCTACAAGTTTAGTCTTGTTGAGTTCCTTTACTGTCTCACATGTTCGGTTCCAAATAAGACATATCTAGTCGAAGTTCCGTAAGCATTTTATTTCCAATCTGTTTGCTCTGCCTTTAGTACTTCATATCTTGTTGCTGTAAATTAGTATAGAACTGTTTGGTTAGTTGGTTTTTGAGTCTAAACTGATGTATACCTCTCCTTGCTTGGTGTGCATGTGAATTTGTTAGCCTAATGATTCTTATGCTATAGTTCTGGTTGTTCTTAATTGGGATAAGACATAGTAGTCCTAGACTATGACCGAAATTCCAAAGACATTAGGGTTTAGGGTTAGGGTTTACTATGATCGAAATCCCAAAGACATACCTTAACTAAAATAAAGTCTTATTAACCTGAACATATTTTTGTTGTAAACTAAGCCAAAAAGGTGTACACAATTATAAAAAATAAATGGATTCAGGGGTAATAAGACCTTAGTTTAGTTTAGTCAAGGTGTGTCTTTGGGATTTCGATCATAGTTTAGGGAGTACTTCTACCTTTCCCTTCTTAATTGTCATACCTTTTCTAATTTTTTTAAATGATTTTTTTAGTTACAAGGATCATTGATTTGTTTAGTGTTCAGGTCCCCATATTAACAACTTGAGTTGTCTAGTTAAATGTCACTGTGATTGTGATTACTGCTTAGATAATACTGAGCGAGTTTGTTGTGATGCTTGATTCCTTCCAAAATATTGAGATTGTCTTAGTATTCATTTTGCTTTGAAGATAAGTTTGATCCTCCCTTGATGAGTGCTGTATCTAAAGATCATATTTTATAACTTAAGCTCGTGAAAAGATTGTGTAATTTGTGCATTATAAGAATGTGGTTGTTAGTAAAAGTTCACTTATGGTTTTAACTGATATTGATTCAGAATGTTATTTTGGTTATGTGATAAGAGATTCGTCATGGTGATTGTGTATTGGTTCAGAGGGTTTCGGTTTATTATTGATTAATGTGCTAGTCTGTGGCTTGGTAATAGCTCCCGATTGGTAGGTCTGCCAATGTTTGATTCGAAAGTTTAGTTCTTAGAAATTGATTTTGATGGATGGGTCTTAAATAGGATTTTACTTGGAGAGATGAACACCCGACTAGTAGGTCATAACTTAAGCTTTTAGTATATGTCACTTATTCTTTCTTCTTCTTTCTTATGTTCGGGGCCGAACATGATTTTTAGTGCTGAATAATATAATGACCTGAAAAGTCATTTGTAGAAATTTTTACAAAATTACCGTCTTACCCATCCCGATAGTTGCCCCAAGTCCTCTTTTTATTAGTCAGTAAAGTTGGTTTGGAAATCTTGCACTATTGGTGTAACTAAAGTATTTAGTTGGCCGATAATTATTAAATAAATTATTTAGTTAGTTAGTGATTAATGGGCTAGTGTATATATATATATATATATATATATATATATATATATATATATATATATATATATAAAAGCTAGTGCGAACATTTATCTAATGATGCAATGGGTCATAATTATTTGCCCTAATAAATTAAAAAGAAAAATGTGGTTTTTAATAAAGAGAACTTCATCGGCGATAGATCAAAGTGCAGCATGGGAGAAACCGTTGTCGAACAAAACTCTTGTTGCGGTACAAAAAAAGAGAGACGAAAGTTTAGGTATATTCGAGCGAGTTTAAAATTGTGTCTACTTATATTATTGTTGCATACAAGAATTAGTATTAAAATATTATTGGGTTGAAAAATTAAGATGTGAATTGTTGCATATTGAGTGAATTCTCTGTGCTTTGCTGAGGATAATAAAAAAATAATTGAGTGACACAATCATTGCCAACGATAGTGCAATGATCGGCAGTGATAGTAGAATATGAATGAAAGTCAATGGGTTAGAATACTACTTTGACATTAGAGGTTACTGATTTATATTGATTATGGAATTGCAAGTTTTCCTGGTGGATCACATTATGATCCATGTTCCATCGTATTGGAGTGATGTACTTAAATTGTAGGAATATTAAAGTTATAAATATCACTGGATTTATATTATTTAGAGAAATTGAAGCATAATTGCAGGCAAACAAATTGAAAATATGAGTTGACATGTTAATTGACATCAAGATTAAGACCTTGATTATGGATTTGGGTAAATTTATGGGTTCGGCTAGCATATGGGTGTTATTTTAAAATCTTATCGTGATTTTATATTTGAATAGATTGCATTTATTTGGAAGTCCAATGAAAGGGGGAGATTCAAGTCTCGAGAGTGATTGTTCGACTATTGGAGGCAAGTAGATTTCTAAACTCTTGCTAAGTGTATGAAATACATGTATTTCCTTGTGGTATATGTTTGAGAGTAATGAGACTTGGTGATGGGTTGACTTGTCCACATTGATTAATTCTAATAATAAAAAAGGGTAATAAAAGACGATGTGATTATTTGTTTGTATGTGATGTGTTGAGAATGGTACGAGTACGGTGTTATAATGGGAAGGTTTATTATTATTGAATGTGGATTGTAATCCAAGAATGCCAAAGCACATGGGGATTAACTGATATATTATTGATTTGATTTATTATGTGTGATTGTGTTCTTTACTGAATCCGTATAGTTGTGATAATTGAGGTGATTATATGTCATAACGACATTTGATATATTGAGATATTGCATCATCTCTTTATTTGATATCATATTGCGCCCATGCATTGACATGAGATTGGGTATGAGTAAAGGTCTAACACGTGGAGATCGTCCATGTTGAGATCGAGTTATGATTATTGGGCACGTGGAGATCGTCCGTGCGATAGAAAAATTATGATTATGATTTGGGCACGTGGAGATCGTCCGTGCGAAATTTATTTGATTTATGATAGTGCGTTGAAATCGTCCGCACAGACACGTGGAGATCGTTCGTGTCTGTATATGAACCTCGCGAGTCCCCCATGGGTCATGAACTCTCGATGTATTTTCGAGGAGTATCATGTATATACGGTTGAGAGAGAAATTGGTATTCTGAGGTATATCACTTCATGGTGTTATATTGCATTGCATCCCATGACATTCTTCATTCTTGATGATTATGTATTTTATTGGTAGTTAGGAAGTACTTGATATTTGATTACCTTTACTTGACGAACTTGATTTTGTGTGTTGCTGATAATTGTGAGTACCTTTTTTGTGAAAGTTGTGATTGTTGAATATTGAGTTGGTAGTTGGGCTGAATTTTACGCAGGTTGTAGTTGTGGAGGTTCGGTTGGTGTGTAAGGAATGCCCATATTTTATCCCTTAACTTGAGTTTAGACGTTTACTTGTTGGGTACCGTGTGGTTTGGTACTCACCCCTTGCTACTACAATTTTTTGTAGGTTATTAGCCTGGACTTTGTGATATTTCTCTTCTCTTTGTCTGAGGCTTCTTGTGGATAATTGTGAGGTAGTTGCTTGTTATCTCAGCAGACCTTCTTACTCGTATTTATGATCTTGTTTTATTCGAGAAACAATATCATTGAGACTTATTATTTTCTTGTTGAATCAATTATAATACTTTAGAGACTTGTACACGTGACAATCATATTTTGGGGGTATTTTTGAATAACTTATGAAATTTTCGCATTTTATTGTAATGGTCAAGTTTTAGGATGACTTGTCTTGGTGGAATAAGACGAGTGCCATCACATCCATTTTTTTTTGGGTCATGACTACATGGTATCAGAGTGTTAGGTTTGTTGATCTCATCACACAGGGACAAGTCTATTAGAGTCTTGCGGAACGGTATGTGGACGCCTTTACTTTTCTTCGAGAGACTATAAGACTTTAAGAAAACTTCATTCCTTCGTTCTTTCGTGCTACTACTTGAGTCCAATTGGTATCTAGGTGATACAAATTGGTATCTGACTTTCTTCACTCTATTTCGCATATGATTAGTATTAGAGTAGTAAAATTGGAAACACTAACACCAACACCAACAAGAGAGTATGCGTCCTTAAAAATAGACATATTTCCACGATTTACTATAGCATGTAATTACTAGTGACTAGTATGGTCTGTTTATTAAGTTCTTAAAGTTGAAACCCGTATTCTTCATGGGTAGCATTTTCTGACTTCTCTATGGAGAAGTATATCTCCGGATCTTAATGGATATGAGATAGATGGGTTGAAGTAAGATGACTTTGTCAAGGTGACAACGTTCAAAAAACGGCTAGGTAATGAATATCATTATTTTGAAAAATATAGTTAGTAAAGTTCTCATAAGATATATGAATTGCTTAGTGAATAATGAAATTTTGTTGAGCCAATTGAGGGCAAAATCTATACTACGATTTTATAGATTAAGTGTATACATATATACATATATAAAGGTCATGATACGACTACTATAATAATATCCATGTTTGCTTGATTAAAGATATGATGTGTGTTATTTTGTCATCGACCTGATTTAAGAATGAATTTAATAATAGTTTGGATTTATTTAATGGTAGAAATGTGTGACTATTTGGATATGATCTCCTCGGTAGGTATGATGTGTTCTAGTGGTGGATATTTGGTATGGTACTAGTGCATTTAGATTGGGAAATGTATCTTGAGGTTCTGAATGAGGACTGACGATTTTATCTTAAGTTTTAAAAGGTAGATTGAAATTAGGATGACAAACTTATAGGGAAAGAAAGTCCTATTGAGTATACTTGGGTGAACTACATTGAAAATTTTAGTAAGAAAATACTTATAAAATTGAGTTAGTCCTTTAAATTTGATTGGTATACCTGATT